TGCTTATCTATATCCGTTACATTACCTATATTATTTTTTAACTTTTACTTTAAAATATGCATGATGTCGGGTTGTTCTGTTTTTACTTTTTAAGACTAATTGTTATTAATTAGTAATTACTAATTTATGAATAGTTTTTAGATTATGATACTGAAATATATTCTTGATTAGTATCGACATCTTTGAAAATGTACGATGATGTAAGTAAATTTAAAACTATTTTATATTAATTGGTAAATGGTATTATTTAAATTAAAACGAACATTTTGAGCAATCATAGCATTTTTAGCTTTATAGCTATAAGTATTTAACTCAGTTAATGTATAATATATAATATATCATCTATGAAATGCATAAACACCCTCATTGGTTTTTTCGTATAAGTGAAAGTGATATTCATACTCGGATATTCCATATATTATTCGTATTAATTGCACGTGCATTGACAATAATTATAACATAGGTGGGTGCTATACTTTTTATTACTTTCGCGATGAGACGTATTTTCATGGTGGCCAATTTCATTTCACTTTTTGAACCTGTTTTTTTTAAACGCTATGAATCGATTCATATAATCTAACTTCAACAGTTGTCCTTCTGCGGTCTTCAGCTCCGAGCCAAATTCAAMCGGACAACACGTAAACAGTTAACATAAAGGAAGTAAACACTGCCCGTGAAAGTCTTAGTGTCAATGATTGATTTGCATATACCATGATTTTGTAAAATGATGCATACATTTTAATGTAAAATTATCGTATTTTCTATAATCAAAAAATGTAAACGATCCTTGTTAAAAATATTAACTTAAGATATTACGTTTATTTTCATTAGCATCAATTACGTAATTTTGCTGGGTTCTATCCTTGAGTTCAAGATCACGTCAATGATATTATTGTTTAAACTTTAAATGTATATAATATATCTAATTAGAAATTGTTTACGTTTTTACTTAAATTATGTTAATTGAAACAATTAAATCAAAATGCAAAACATGCAAGATTTCAACTTAATTCTATTTGTATTAAAAAATGCTCATGTATATAGATGCATATAAGTTTATCTTGGAATAAATGCGTCAAATTACATGTYCAAAATGTGATAAACATTARATATAAGTCATTTACACAAAATGTAATACCTAGCAGGTACCTATAATGGTTTTGAGAATTCTTATTTAAAGAAGAAAAGGTAGCCAATCACCTGACTCTAAATAACTAGTCAAGAGRTATAACAAATAATTATATTCTTGTTGAATATATTTACCCACACATTTTCACTTTTTTGAAAACAGTTTTTGACTGAGCCATAAAATARCAAGTAAAATTAATTATAGGTAAACGTGTGTGGTACGTATCATAGATTTCATATCGAAAATTTCTTATAAACCCCTCCACGTATTACAAACATAACGTTAGCTAACATTATATATTTACATTAAACTAATTATATTATTCATGAAAGTTTCTTTCTAAATTTAAAATAGTTTAATACTTCAATCATACAAATATATATATGATAGATGGTTTGTTTTTTTAAATAAAATTATAGGATAATTCTTATGAAAATTTTTTTCACATTTATTATAGTCTTAGCAAATTATATT